TCGAAGGCCACGGCCTGAGTGAGGCAGCCACCCACTGCGAGCATCGCGAGGCGTCCGTTCTTAAGCTCCTGGGTTCGCACCAGCTTCATGCCCTCCTCGGTGCCCGGTGCCAAGGCGCGCAAGCCGAGATCTCCGGCGTTCTCGAGCGTCAAGTTCTCAAAGCCAAGACCGATCTGCTTGAAGCGGACGGACTCGATGGCGCCGACGACGACCATCAGGTTCCACATCAGCCCCTCGCCCAGGCCGGGACCAATGAGCTTGTTGTGCGCAGCGATGACATCGATGGAAGGGTCGGAGGCGCCATCGATCGGCAGGCGGAAAGCATCGGGGACGATGAGACCGAGGAAGGCAAGCATCGCCACACGCCCGTGCTTGAGCTCGGCCTCACGGAACCAAGGGAGCAGGGTGGGGTAGCGCTCCGCCAAGCCGATGGGGTCGAACTGGTACTCACCGAAGCCGCCAGCGCTGCCCACCAGGCCACCGGCGAACTTCTCAGCACGGAGGGCTGTGCGCTTGCGCTGGCTCACGGCCAAGCCGGCTGCCACGGTGCCAGCGCCAGCCAAGTTGAGCATGGTGGAGCTGAAGCCCGCGCTGGAGTTGGGCTGCGCCTGCGCACCCCTCAGGCGCACCTCGCTTGGCTGCTGTGCGGCCGGCTGGCTGACCACGAACCCGGAGGTCACGGCATAAGCGCCGGCCGCAGCAATGGCCATTGCACCAAGTCTCTCCGGCATGACGGTGCAGCTACTCTTCGGCTGGGCGTCCCGGTAGCACTGGGCAGGGCCTATGGCTGCATTGCAGTAGTCATCAGCGCCGATCTGGAACAGCTGTTTCTATTCGCAGTGCTGCTGCTATGCCGATTATGCGTTCCTCTACAGTGAGGTGGCAAAGGAGACTCTGCTGATAATCCTGCTGCCTTATACCTCGTCGTTGTTCCGTTTGAGGATTGCCAAACTGGTCATTCAAATCTGTTCTGGATGTTTCTTAACCAAAAGGTTTTTACACCTACAAAACCTGCTTCGGAACCCTGCATAGTATCCCCCTGTCACTAAGCGCGCGGTTACGCCCCAATCGGGGCCCTGCTCATACCAAGTCTATAGCCGACGCACCGGGGCTATATCCCACGATCCTTCAGGTGGCCTCCCGGGCCTCAAGAGCCGCGCTCTTGTCGTTTCGGTTGAGACACTCAGGATCAAGTAGCCCTCTATGCAAACCTAAGCCCTAAACCCTATCTATGCAAATGAGAATCCTATGGGAGCTGCATCAACTCAGGTCCGGGCAGGATCTGAAACACCCACTTCCGACATTTCGCCTCGACGGATTCCTCCTGGACCTGTTCCAGAAAAGCAGATCGGATGGAGCTTCCCTGGGTCCAGCGATCACAGTAATCCCTGTTATCTCTTTCAGCAGAGGGACGAAACCAGCAGTTTATGAAGTCCCGCCCGGTATCTGTCCACTAAGCACGACCTCGACTTCAGGGTTTAGTAGCTTTCGGGTTTAACGGAACATTTTGTTGCCAGCAGAAGTCATTGAGGTGATACGGAAAGAACTCAACAAGGGGGTTTAGGGTTTATAGGCCTTACGGTTTATATTCAGAAAAAAATATTCAGAAATTCAGAACAAAAGCAAACGACAGTGATGAAAGCGAAGGCACGCGCTGCGACCTCTCGTTCGCTATACCTGCTATACCCTTGACCCAACCCACAAACAGTCATGACCTTAGTTAGACCCGAAAGATCCTCAGGCCCTAGAATATAGAGGCCGTAATAATTAGAATAGGGTTTTGGGGTCCATAATATGGGTATGTATGTATGTATGTATGTATGTATGCATGTATGCATGTATGTATGTATGTATGTACGTATCTATCTATCTGTCTACCTATCTATCTATCTATCTATCTATCTATCTACATATATATATATAAATAGATATACTGTACTATGATTATAACAAGGAACACATTAAACACATGTAATTATTTAGGCCCCTGTATGCTGCCCTGCACCCTAAGTCACTCAAGCTGTATGTCCTGCAACCACCGGCCCCAACTCGAAACCCTAAACCCCCAAAAGCGATCCAAAACCACTCAGAACCCCAACTCTTACATACTTCGAACCAAGAAGCCTCTCTACCCACTCCCCTCATGTGAACCACCAACTATGAAAGTTCTGCCGGGTGCCTGCAGAAAATCAGAAAAAAAAACAACAAAAAGCCACTGAAGCCCCAAACTCTGAAATCCGAGATCAGAAGCCCTGAAAGCTCGGAGCCCCTATAAGGCCCTTAATGCCCTTCTAAAACTCTTCTCAACGGGGTTTGGGATTTAATTTAGCCAAATACGTTTTCATGAAGCAATGTTTGTAAAACCCAATGAACCCCCCCCCCCCCCCGCCCAAGCTCCGATTTCTCGAGGCCCAGACCTGTTCGAAACCGGCACGGGGGACCTCCATGCTAACCTCGGCTACCTGGGACCGCAGAAACTTGTTGGGCTTGGGGTTTATGGGCTTGGGGTTTGGGGCGTGGGGTGGCGCTTTACAAGCCTAAACCGTAAGCCGCTTGAGGTCTGAGCTCTAATGTAGGGACTAGTAGGCTTCTGTACAATATAATTCGAAATAAAAAGAAAAGGAACCCTGAGGAATCTTGGTAATCATTTTGGCTTCTGTATCACCCGCATAGGCCTTTAATTGTAGTGTAGGGCATGTCGCAGTACGTTCGATGATGTCTGCTTTGCAAGGCTGCACTAGCTTCGCGAATGGTGCTCGACTTGTGAACACAGGGCGGGGCTGAACAGCTGGAATAGGGTTCCGGTGCATATTCGTAAATACAAAGTGATTCGACGGGATATCATCACTAGATATTGCGACCCCTGTACTACTGCAGGGCTTGGTCCAAAAATCGCCGTACCCAAACCCTTGTGCCTTAGGCTTTGGAGCTTTGGGCCGTTGCGGTCTTCCGGGGACTGGCTTGCGTGCTTCGGATCTATTTCCGGATGATGTATAATAAGGGCCTTAATAATTAGACTAGGGTTTTGGGCCCCATAATACTAGAGTTAGAATAAGGAACCACCCAAAATAGTATTGGTAATTAGTTAGGCCCCTATAGTAGGGGTCGTAGCACTTAGAACCGGGTTCGCACAAGGGTCCTATGACGGCCATTTTCAGCGTTCCGTTCAGGCATTCTAGAAGGGCTTAGTAGGGGGGCTATAAAAATCAGACAAAATGTTTGGGTAAAGGGTTTAGGGTTTTAGGATTTAGGTTACCGTGACTAAGTCGCGAAAATGTTCAGCCCGTTCAAGTCCGACCACGTCCCCTGCAGGGGGCCGACCGGCCAGAAAGACAGAATAGCCTTGTACCCTAGACCCCTAAACCCTAAATACTGTGGTACTGGAGCCTCGGCAAGTGGAATAGGGGTTGGGGATAGGTTATTTCTAGAATTAAACATGCAAACATGGAACCACATGTAGCTCCCTTTCGGGAGGGTAGCAGTCTGCAGTGGATCCCTTAGAGGCTCCATGTCAGCTTCAACTATGGCTACTCTATATACGGCAAAACCTGCCTTCACTCTACAGAACCTGCTCGTCCGGGCTTCGTAGGGAAATGTTCTTTACATAAACTCAAGCAGGTAGGTTCTTCGGGGTGAAGGTAGATGTAAACCCTATAACACTAAGACCGCCCGAACCCTGAACCCAATTCCACACGGCCTGCCGAGGAAGATAGAAACACCCACACCATGGGGCTCCCAGCAAATCGAACATACTTCGGCACCGGGTTCAGAGGTCGAGGATTTAGGGGCTTGGGTTCAGAGTTTAGGGTCTTGGGATAGTAGAGACGAAATCATCAGCATAGAGTGCTGGTTTTGCATGGGGGAGACAAGGGGGAGATGCTTGGAAAGAACTTAGTCGCCTAAAAACGGGCTCTGCTTGAATCCTACTTACTGCTAGTCCCCTTAGAGCCTTATAAGTGCAATCCACTTCTCGGACCCGCACCCCCAGTAGCAGGGCCATCCAGCCTTTTACATCCTGAGCTGGCCAGGGTTTTAGTTCAAGCCACGAGAGACGTTTGGGGTTTAGGGCTTGGGGTTTAGGGTTTTCCTACGTCGGGTTGGAGGTTTACGGTGTGGTTCAAGGATGTGGCGTTGCACAGGAACCCGAACTTCGCTTGCATAGAAGTATTGGACAGGCCATCTTTGAGACCTGTCAGAAACCCAAGCCAAAAGCTATCTTGCAATTCCGGCTATCCTGAACCTTAATAACCCGAATATCTTCTCTTGTCTTGTATTCGGTACTCTGGACGGACCCTCAGAATTTGCCATAAAAAATACCATGAACAAGGCCAACATTACTCAATCTCATGGTAGGAAAACTTGTTTGCGGCTCTAGTTTTCAAACCGATTGAAGGGGTTGGGTGGTTCAGGGCTGAATCCAGACAACTCGTGACTTCCATGTTACGCTCGTTGTTGCCACTGATTCTTCTTTCTCTTGCTAAAAACATCATCCTTGCGCACAAAGTAACCAGCCAAAAGCACTGCAACTTAAGTGTAACAGCTGCGAAACCCCTGTAGATGCTACTTCTACTTGAAACCGCAACAGTATGTCTTCCTACCGGTCTTCCTGCAGCGAAAGCAGGGTTACGCATCTCGAGTCAAAACTGGTCTCATTTTCGAACGATCTCGGGAGATTATTCATACCCCCCCCATACTAAACTCTCATAGAACCCTTCTAGAAACATTCAAAGCAACCCTTGCAATGGCCGCTATAGGACCCTTAAAAGCTCTCTATTAGGGCTTGGAGCCCGAGCCTACACACCATCTTGTAATTATCGCGACTAGCATGATTGGAAGATGCCTGAAGGCAGGTCTAAAGGGGTTTCGGGATTAGGGTTTTAGAGTTTAGGGTTTATTGCGGGGTAGCCAACGGCTGATAGGCGTGTGTGATATTTGGCTTGTTTTCAGGGATATGAGACTTGAGCCATTGCAGCATTGCACCAAGCTGTTCTCTTTGTGCGTGCATCCAGTCCACCATCATCGCTTTAGGGCCTTCGGAGAGTTTGTACGGGCACAACCCATGATCGCACGTTGAAGTAAAGTCTCGCCCATGATCTTTCGGTGCAGGGAGCCTTTGGGGGTTCTTCTTGCCTTTCATGTACAAAATGCCAAAGGCTAAACTAATGCTAAACTGTTGGCAAAAGGAAATGGAAACCGCTTCCCACCCCGGAAGAGGGTCCTGCTGCACCTGTGCAGGGACGGACATCAGCGTGGCGGAGTAAAAGGACTTGAGCACCTTGGCGTTGGAGTGCAAGCGAACGGCCTGATTAAGGTATTCTGAAGCCTTCAACATGCGGCTGTGTCGATGGATGAGGTTTCATTGTCCGTTGTGTTGCTGGCTTTTGCATTTCTGTTGATGACTCCTTTTAATGACAAGAAAGAAGGTGGGTTAGTTTAAATTCTCGACGGCGGATGAACTTGCAGTCTTGACCCCGAACCCTACACACTGGAGTGGACAGGGAGAAGAACTTTTCAAAGTAACGTAACTGTACTGTTCAACTGATTGATGCAAGAGAAAAGAAACCCAACAGAAGCCCTTATAGATCCCTATAGGGAACCCTAAGAGGGACCCTACTTTCAGCAAACCTGGAACCTGGGTAGCTCGCATACTGCAACGTCTCGGATGATTCCACCGGGAGCTCTGCCCCTCTTTGAGAGTTCCTTTGAGAAG